AGATGTGTTGACTAAGTCGTTAAGGGGACCTCGGATTGAGTTTATTTGTTCCAAGCTTGGTACATACAATTTGTATGCTCCAGCTTGAGGGGGAGTGTTAGAATAATTATTAAGTCTACCTATGATTAGTATAGCACGGCCTAAAGTAGGTAGTTGTGTGTTGGGTTATCTATAATGATTGTTCCTAGCAGTCTAGGACAATCTCTTCATCTTCCATCCATCTATTGTATCAGTTTTATCTATATAAATAAGAGAATTGAGAAGGGTCTAACAAGCCCTTCAGAACTATTTTTCTCAGTTTTAGATCTCAAGTAATACTATAGCCAAGCCTAAAAACTAAGGTTCAGTTTAATCACACCAGGCAGAGAGGCATACCAGCTTATTCTCAACAAACACCAATGCATGGCAAGAAGCCAGGATTTCAACTGTTCGTACAGGCACTCTACTTGTATCAGACTCCAAATCTGTAGTTCCATTCAACCCAACAACTCCAGAAAATTCCTACAAAGTGGGAATTAAAAAGTTAGACCGCAACCAATAGTCTAAACGGCTAAATCAATATCATTGTCTAATATGGGCATACCATATCATCAGATGTAAGTGTCCCTGTCTTGTCAAAACAACATATATCAACCTGTATGGCAAGGTATGTACAAGAAATTATATAAAAAAAATGTCATATGATCTCTATACCAAACAAGGTACATGAGTAGAAACGTTTAGACAGGCCTCCAGGTACCTTTCCAGCAAATGGTATCCTAAAAGGCTCTGTGCAAAAAATCCCACGTCGTGCCAGGGCAATAAGAGAAGTATTAACAGCTATCGATAATTCCATTGGTAACTCAGGAGGTATCACAGAAGTAACAATAAGTGAACAACTTAGTATTAGTTTATACTTGCTCCTTGTGGGATCTTCCAGCCCCTGCAAGCAAAAACATTAACAATTTATCAAGCCATATCACAATTGACGATTAAGATCATACCATCTTAACCATGCATCTGCAGAGCATCATTACCTTAACAAGCACATAACCAGCAGCAATAAGAGCAAACACAACCAAGAATAAAATGAATAATCCACTTTCCCAGCTATTGGCAGTCACCTAGTCAATTCAGAAATAACAAGAAAAATCATCAAACCAACACTGAAATCAAAAAATCAGCCTCGGTAAGGTTTATATCACTTTACCCTTTCTGTAGAGAATAAGATTGTTCGCATCAACTTTCCTTGACTTGTTTCAAAACCCGTTCTCAGGACAACAGCCAAGCAGCCACCATCAGGAGTTTTAAGAGGAAAACTCTGACTCCAACAAAATTAAAAATAAAATGAGAAGCATGAACACTAGCTGAACAATAAACAAAAACCGTATAATTTCCCAGCTTGAATATAACCTTATCTGGGGTATGCTGCAATATTTTTGTCCCACCAAACAAAACGTGGCTTTTATCTCGCTTTGCTGACAATTTCTCCTCCATACCCCTACCCGCAATTGAAATCTAAAAGAATAAACATTCTGAATAAGATTCATGCAAGAGAACATGACAAAATAAGGTCCAGTCTCCATAGACTCGTCAGAGATGTATTTAGATATACCAGCCAACCATAATATTAAAGATGTTCTATCCCAAGCTTATTTATTCCTTTATGCGAAAGAAGAGCAAATATAATAACGAATTTGCATGTTCAGATATATAATAATAAACAAGTAAACCGGATTCAGGGACATGCATAAGCATTTAATTTTTTGAAATAACAAACTGAAGTCAGTATTAATGCTCTGTATAACAATCATCAATGAAGTTGGACTATAATATTAAAAACAAATAGAGAGAGCAGGAAAATAATTATGCAGCACAACTATGGCTCAACAGTATCCAAAGGACAAACTAAATATTAATAGTATGACAAGTTGATCGGCTTCCTGGGTGAAATCAAATATCTATGACTTTTAGAAATTCAAGACTAAAAGCAGCATAGAAGTATGCCGAGAAATACTCCAGAAGTAATTACTACCAAAGATATGCAAACCAATTAACAAATAAAAATGCAATTTTGGCAATCAGACAAGAATCAACTACACAGAATTTAAGAAAATAAGTCCCCTCCCAGCAAAACAATTTATACTTCTAATTATATCATATATCCATAGGCTATCAGACAAATACTTTAGTGAGTAGTTCAGAAAAGAGGTACACCTTCCATTGAGGAGTAGACTCGCCTGTGAGAATAGCTTCATTCACAATCACACTTCCAGCCAATATAAGCATGTCTGCTGGTACAGACTTCTCCTCCCCATTCTGACTAGAAGAGCGGCCTATGGAGACAACATCCCCTGGCAAAAGGTCTGTACCAGAGAGTTTAACCCACCTATAATCCAAATATAAATGAAAGTATTAAACTTTTACTCCTCTAAATCCAAAATAGGGTTATTAATTATTAAGAAAGAGATAACATACTTGCCACAGCGATGTACCATTAGGATCTGACTGTCCACTCTAACACGTCTCAACTCAGTTAGAGTTTTCAATCTACTTTTCGCCATGGTTGACTCAAACATAAAGAGCATAAATAGAGTGAACAAACTGTAATACCAATATTCATCCAAACACCAGAGCCCCACACAAAAAACCTGGTCATAATATAAACAAGAACAAGTCAAAGAGTTTGCTTGAAGATTACAGACAAAAAACAGAAAACTAAATATTATTTAACAAAGGGTACCTGAAATACGAAAAAAGGCTCCATGCAATGCTCTTTCATTAATTTCTGAAATGTTGGTTGAGGATAATCAAATCTAGAAGATCAACATGTAGAAAATTATTAGAGAGAAAAACTAAAGCAACATAATGCAAATAGATCAGATGATGCATGTCTTCTTGAGAGAGAACAAAATCAAGAATCAACAAAATTACCAAAATTAGGGTATTACATCTAAGCCAAACCAAGTCCAATCCATAAATATTATGAATTAAAAATTATGTTTTAAAGAATTATAAAATGACCAGAGAATAAGGAAACCCACACATTCCGTCCCCATTTCTCAGTAGCTGCAAGAACTTTAGCTTCAGAGCCATGGCCACTGCATTTGATGTAACATCCAAATGTTTCTTTGGTAGGGTAGGAAAGCTTGCAAAATGTTCCCTTCTCCTTTGAATACACAAAACATTGTTTTCTAAAATCAAAGTAGTTCTCTTCCAAATCCACAGCTGATGAAGAACCTGCAGACTGCATAACTAAGAACTTTACTATGATACACAAATCAAAGGAAGGGCCTCTAAAAGAGGAAGAAAGAGAAATAAAATTTCTTATCAAAACACAAACTGTAAAAGTAAACAATGTAAAAAGGGGCGAGCTGGATTAACAAACAAAACAATTAAAATAATGCCAACAAACATACTCAGAAAATTGCATACACGCAGCACAGTTTACATTTGAAAGTATTGATATAAAAGGCATCACAGACTCACAATTATGAATTCGTGCAGAATATGCATTAACAAGAACATGAGATAAAAATTATACAATAAATTTCAAACATAAAATTATGAAAATATTATACATATATGTACATCTATTCTTCTTTTCCAACCTGAAAACCTATCCTCCTAACAATCACGAAATACAAAATCAATAAATATAAAATCAAGAACAAACACATCAAGCTAGCAATGTGGTCAATCTGAATATATATCTAACCCAGTAAACCCTCTAAAATTGTTTTTATATGACAGAAACACGATATTCTGGAATTCAACAGCAAACTTGCAGAACTTCAACAGTTTGCCCCTCCTTGACCCAAAGGCCTCAGTCTTGATTCCACTCTAAAATTGAAAAGATTTCAGTTTTCAGTTTTAGAGAGTCAGAGTGACTAGTTTATACTTCGAGTGAAAAAGCCAATTTACATAAGTGATCAGCTAAGGCATTTATAGCCGTACAGAAAGGAACAGAAAAGACTAACTAACTGAACTAAGGGGATGTATTGGATTGGGATCATAAAAGACTACTTTAGCATTAAAGTCTTGCAAATTTTAAAAGACTATAAGAAATATTAAATTGTCAGATCTTTTTAAAATACTATTATAATTGAGATTTTATAGTTTGGACTTAAATAAAGTTGTCATAGTGTAAGAATTTAAAAATTTTGAAAAAGAACTCTGAATTTAGAGCACTTAAAATTACAAGAGTAAAAGAAATACAAGGTGTGGATACACAAAAGTAAAATCATCTTCTAATTTCTGCTCTTGAGTTAAAATAATAAATTCAAGATTATGGTCTTCTTACCAAATTTAATAATATTGAAAATAAAGATTCATAAATTGGATCAATTGGAAATCCATCAAAATGACAATTTTTGTGAAGTTATTTAGTGCAGCACATGAATGCCTCTATGCCCTTCAACAAAGAGAGAATAATAGATTGTGTTAGATAGTAGAAAGAAAAACCTAACCAACAAAAAGAAAGAAAAAGAATCCAGGAAAGTCTCAAGGGTTTATGTGAGATTATTTGATGGATATACTTCCTACTAAAAAGTCAGGTGAAGTCCCTCAAAATTCCTTTTTGAAAATGATTCATCAAAATCTATATACTTCGATACAAACAAACTTTTAATTCTGAAAATCCATAATTGATACCACTAGAATTCAATGACCTACTTCAAAATCCTTATTATCTTAATTGAATATCACAAGACTTATTTATATCCAAGGTAATCAAAATTGAGATGGTTGGGATTATGAAGGGCTCACAAGATCCTAAATTGTGGGATCATAACACCAATTATAGATTCTAATTCTACATAAATACAATATATTTATATATATATATATATATATATATATATATATATATATATATATATATATAGAGAGAGAGAGAGAGAGAGAGAGAGTAAAAGAAAAGCAGTCAAAACTGAGTGAAGGAGAAAGGGTGAAATCTTGAGTACTATGCATCCACACAGCTTCCCCTATGGTGTGGTCAAGCAATCAAAACAGCCACAACTTTGGGGAAGGTGTTGCTTAGCAGACAAGAAGGAGGGAGAAGCGTGACACCAACTACTTAGTAACATGAAACCACATTTGCTTGAAGAAAAATAATTTTTTTAATTGGCCTTGGGTTTTAAGCCAAAGCTTATTGACCAAAGAACAGTTTTGGGCAGATGCAGAACCCAAAACCTAGAACACAGCAGAACATGAAAACACAACAATTCCAACATTTTAACATTTATTACAACAATCCCATCAATCCCACCCTAGTGCAACCTTGCATGGACTCTAAATTGGACGTGGTATGCAGAATCATGACATTGTGTGATTCCATGTTTTAAATTGCAGTATTGACTACATTGTTTATATCATTTAAAAGTCTTCATTGAATACTATAGGACTTTATAATAAAAAAGTAATATCTTTTCAAATCCTTTGGAATTTTGGTACGATACACCCTGAGTTACTTACAGATTAAAGCTTTCATACTAACAGAATCCCATAAGAACACTAGAGTGTTTTGAGTAAAACCCTACTCTACAAGTAACTATCTAATGGGGTTATCTATTTATCTATATTGAATTCAGCCCCACCAAGAACTGATCAAAGAATGCTTGCAAAGCCAACTCCAACAGCACTAGCTTCAACCCCATTTTGTCAAAATACAAAGACCAATGCTAAGTTTTCTAAGTACTTTTATGCTGTCACATAGTGTTAGCATTCAATGTGAATGATAGGTACCCAGATTTTATTAACACTGTAAAGAACTCCAAGACAGGTTCTTGGATGATCTTCCTATGAAAACCAGACAGCTTTCAAAAGGACCTGTCTCTTCCTTCCTTTCACTTACAATTTTCTCCAAAAACTACTGAAAACAACCCCTGTACAGACCATATATAATAGTCTCTCCCTTCCTTTCACTTCCTTCTACCATATACTTTCCCCCTGAACCTGACAGTGAAAACACGTATCCACAATTTATCAATTCAAGTGTAATTGTTGAACCATTAGTAATTACATTTTTTTATATTATATAACTTTATGAGAAATCATGATTTAAAAACTGTAAATTAATATATTAATATAATAACTAAATTATATCTATTAGATAAAATATATTTTTAAGAAGTAGACTTTAAACCTAACTCAATCTTACAAAACCAGTTTATAAGATGAGGTTTGCACTTACTTATATCATGTAAACTCGTCTTATATCTAGTAGATGTGGAATCTTCAACACACCCCATCACGTCAAGACATATACATCTCGAGCATAGAAGGTCATTCGATACCATCCCACTAGCAGGTGACACAAAACATCAATGGGTAGTCCGATAAAGGTTTGATGGCAGGTAGCATGATAAACCCAACAAATAACAAATTTTGCTAAAATAGGATTTGGATGACTCTAATACCATCTTAAAAAGTGAATTTTAAACCTAACTCAACTTTACAAAATTGGCTTATAAGATGAGATTTGCACTCACTTATATACTATAAATTTTCCTTATCTTTAGTGTTATCAATATCGAATAACAGAAAATATCAGAGATTCAAAAATCCTTTATAAAGTTATAAAGGAAACCATAACAAGTTATGGCGAAAACATTGGTCAAAAGAAATATAATACCACAACATATAATTATAATGCAAAAGTAATAATATTATGTCTAGAAATTCAAATAATAATAACATCATATCAAAACACCACAATAATGGGATGTTCTTTTGCTCTAGTAACTCCTTCCATAACTTTCCCACAATAATTAGAAACAGTTGTATTTAAATTTGACTCATCCATTGCTGAAAAATAGGTATTGTTTTGAAAAATAATTATAGTAAAAGTGGAGAAGAAGAAAAAAATTTAAAAGAAAAAAAAAAAACTTGACTGGGGCGGCGAGCAATGACAGCAGCGGTAGCTATTGGTGGCAGTAAGTTAGGGCAGGCAGCTGGAAAAGAATAAGAGAGAGTGTTTTAAAGTTGTGTGGCCAAGCCTATAGACCACTTGAACAATTATCCATTTGGACAAAGCTCCACTCCTAAACAAGGATCCAACTATGCTTCTTTTAGTTCCACACTCCTCTCCTCCTTGATCCCCTTCAATGCGATTTCCAAAGGTAATCCCGACCTCTGACAAGAAGTGGTCATAAAAAAGTTTTGAATTTCCCTTATCTTCCATAGAGGCCTCTTGCTTCAGCCCCATGAAAATTCATTAAGATGTGAGATCATGAACAGCTAAAATGTCCGATGACTTCATTCTTGAACATCATCTAAGTTGTGTTCAGAACACATGACTGCAAGTATTGAAAAAGAAGCCCTTCCATTTTCATCATAACACTCATCGTGCACTCTTCTTCTGGGAAACTTCTCAATCAGAAAGACATATCAATCAAATTACCCAAGCTGCTCCTAATGTGAGCATCCATGTGTAACTGGCTTTCTTTTTCTCTCAATTGTACTTGAAGGATTCCTTCCAGCTCCTCCATGCAATATATGGATTACTTAATTTTTTTTACAAAACACGAATCACTCCGTGAATAATGGAGATATGATGCCAGTAGATAGATACCCGGTATTTCAATAGAAAGAAAGAGGAATGTCTCCCCATAATACACCAGCAAACTTCTCCTTACAAAAAACTGTCCTATCTCGAGCATCATAAAAAGGTTAAGATTGCTCTGTCCATAAGAGGTAGCAACGAATAGAAGTCCTTGAATCTTTTGCCTTTCCTCCAAACCATAGCTCAAAACCTCTAAATTGGCATATGAAGAATGCTCCAAAATCTATTCACAATTTTAATTAGTACTAATCTCGTCAAGTACTAAAGAAAAATAATATACCAACCCCTTCTAAGGCAATTGACCCAATAATCTAGTACCACCTTACCAAAACTTGATAGTTTTCCTGAGATATATTCCATGCACAAATTCCACCACTCACCCCCAAACCAAAGAAAAATAGATAGCCAAGTATCTGAGTGTGGCAATTCATCAGCATTCTATAAAAGTTATTATTTCATTACATGCTATTCCAAGGAAATCACTCAAGAAAATCGCAGTCATCACTGGGATGGAAAGGTATGAAAGGACTAACCACAAAGACCAAGCTAAAGTATCCTAGAGTGCAGCCAGACATGTAGCTCTTGGGCAGTTGAGACCCTAATTGACTATATATAAGAACTAAATAGTGCCTATAAGGCTTAGGCAATCCACCTTAAAAGCCTATTTTGCAAGTTGGGTTAGGCCTTGAGCACAGATAGTAAGAACCTTCCTTCTATAGGCATTGATCCACGATAAGAAAAACAAATAAAAAATCCGAATAAACTTAAAGGCAACAATTTAGCCACCTCTTTCAAATTACACAATGCATTTGCTTTCGTAAGAGGTTCACAAATTGTCAATCTAGAAAGATCATAATTTATTTTAAATCCTCTTTCTAGGACTGAACCTTACAACATATCAAGACCCATCTTATTTCAAGAACTAAACCCAAGACACTAACTAACTAACATACTCTTCCAATTCTCATTGCACTGAGCTTTAATCATCTTCCAGTACACTTTTTTAGTATGTATTATCATGCATAAAGTCAACATACTTTCCTCCTCTGAAATCCTGTTTTTCAACACTTACTATCTTCCAAATGAAAAAAAGAATAACATAAACACTCTACCACGCTCCAATTCAACCATTAAAAAGTTGTCGGGACTTACACTTTTCCGAGAATGAAGCGGCACAACTTCTTTAGAACCCGAGAACTTAGCCGGGGTAATCTTGCAGGAATCAGCCTGGTCAATATTTTTAGCCTGAACACAAACCGAAGAAAAAAAAACTAAGATAACTCTATACACACTTAGCAATAATTCGTAACGGATACAAAAAAACAATTTACCTTGCTATAGTGAGCGAAACATTTGAAATCAACAGACCAACCAGTGAAGAGCCAAACGAGGATGTGAAGCGCAAGGAGCGCGCCTAAAACGATCGCTGCATCCACAAAGTCGAGGCTGGGAAGAATAACCGAAAGCCACGCACAGTAAAGCATGGCGAAAGGCCAAACGTCAAGGCGCCACGTCAATTGCTTCTTCCTGAGCAAATCGACGCGGTCCACAACCTTGCCGCCGACTTGGAAACTCGACATCGAATCGCCGTTGGCTTTGGCCACCGGAGTAGTTAGGGTTTGAGATTACGAAGCGTTCTAAATCTCAGATCTGACCAAAAAGGTTCAGTTCTTTAACTGTCGATGATGAGAGCGGCTAGGTTCAACCCCTCGCCACTCGCGACGATTTGGTCTCCGTTTGCGAGCGAGCGACTCTTCTCACTAAAGCTATTCTTTTTCCCTCAACGTCACCGCTAAAGCTTAACTACTTAACCATTTTCCTTTAATTTATGAATTACTTTATTATTGTTCCACATTAGAAAAAAAGATGGAGTTTAAGTTTCGGATAATTACAATATATTTTATCTTGTTATAAGTTATATATTTTGTCATCTAAATTAATTACAAATCAGTTTTAGTTAAAGCTAAGAAATAGCTTTTAAAGTAATTATTACAGCAAATAATCATTTTATTTACATGTAATCTATAATTTAATGATGATTTAAAAAGTTTACCGTTTTCATATATTTTTCTAAGAAATTTTTAAGAAAAGAAGATCATGGGAATTAACCATACACACATGCGACAAGGAAAAGAAAATTGGAATAAATATAGGAAAAATAAAAGCAAAAATGAATTAGCAACTGATAAATTTATGAAATGTGTGTATATTTTTTCTGTTTTTGGTTTTTCTATGCTCCTTTGTTATACGTGTGTATCATACGGACCGATGATCCAAGGAAGACCATATAAGATCAACCTAACCGGACGGTCCAAGGAAGACCACATAGGATCAAGGTAAGCAGCGATTAAAGCTATTGGACTAAAATTGGGTCATGATTAACTTTTCACTAATCCCAAGCCCATGACAAAAACTATAAATACAGGTCAAAGGTAAGTGGTAGGTACATTGCATTTACTACACATTTATTACTGTTCTATTGAATTGTTGAACGGTTCACACACTGACTTTAGCATCGGAGGATCTTTGACAGGTTCCCTCTTAGACGGAAAAGTAAGACAGCGGAGCTTGGAGCACGACTGGATGACAAGAAGGGAAAATTGTGAAGGAGTTTGGTGACTCAACCCCATAACCAAAACATTTTGGCGCCCACCGTGGGGCCGAGTTGCTTGATAAACCCAATGGTGACCACGAGAAACATGAGTGTTGACGACCCAGTTGAGATGATTCGAATGTTGCAACAGAAGATGGAGGAGATGCAGTAGAGCCAAGAAGCAGAACTCGTAGCAATGAGGGCTAAATAATCGGCTCGAATTGCCCAGGAGAGGGAGTCAGGAGCAAGAGAGAAGGAGGGAGAGAAGCGCGGTAAGGAGCGTGGGAAAGTTGTTGTGGAAGATAAAACCAAGCGTAGCGGTTCACTGGATGAAATATGGAAACCCACGGAACCAGAGGTCAAGGGAAGTAAGGTCAAATCCATACATGCGGAGAGTGTCGTGGAGGACAAACAGTTAGTGGTGAAAACCAAAACCTCGTCAACATTACTCCCCTTCGTCCAGGCAATCATGGACGTCCACATATCATAGCAGTTCGTCCCGCCCCAGTTTAAGATATTTGACGGGACGACGGACCCAGAAGCCCACATCAAGACCTTTTCGAACACAATGGCGTTCCATACAGGTAACGACGCCATCTGGTGCCGAGCATTCTCCTTATCATTGGAAGGGGAGGCACTCGAGTGGTTTAACTCGCTTCATCACAATTTCATAGAGAATTTCGCAGGGTTGCAGCGCATGTTCAACCGTCAGTTCGCTGACAATAGCACTCAGGACTTGACTATCTTCGAGTTGGTCAACCTGAAGCAGGGGAAGGAAGAAACCTTGAGAGCATTCATGGATCGTTACCAGAAGATCGTCCGGCGGGTGAAGGGTTTAAGCCCGAAACTCGCCTTGCAATACGTTCTACCTACTCTCAAGCCCGGACCATTCAAGGACAGCGTCTGCCGACGAACACCCAAAACCATGGAAGAACTGCAAGAGAGGGCGACCGATGAGATAAGGGTAGAGGAGATAAAGCAGTCGTACAAGAAGGAGAATCAGGAGAGTAAAGGATAAAAGACCAACGGAAGGAAATCGGATGGTCAGACTGGGAAGTTTGGAGGGTTCAAGCAGAGAGAACCACCCAGGGGACCGCGATTTCAACAGTACACCCCATTGAATGCCCCTCGGGCGAAAATTTTTTAGGAATCCCTAATTGCTTAACTGTTCCCAGAACCAAAAAGACGACATACTCCGCCAGGGGCGGACGGCAACAAACACTGTTTGTACCATAAAAACTTGGGCCACACCACAGAAGAGTGTGTGACCCTAAAGGACAAGATAGAAGAATTAATCCGAGCGGGGCAATTAAAGAAGTACGTAAAGGTCGACCGTCCCCAAGCACCCTTGAATCGACTAAGTCCGCGACGGACTAGTCCCAAAAGACCAGGAAGACAAGAAAGGTCTAGGCATGACTGGACAGACCGTCCGCGATCTAAGAGACGGTGAAGCAGGAGCCGTAGTAGGAGTCGCGACCGTACCCTGCGGAGGCATATCAACACGATTTCTGACTGTTTCGCGGGGGGAGGATCTTCGTCGTCCGCTCGGAAGCGTCATGTGGGGGCCTTACGATCTGTTCACACGGTTGACTTTCATGTCGCCCATCACGTTCTCAGACGAAGACTTTCATGCACCCAAGCCCGATCAAGATGATCCAATGGTAGTAACAGCGGAAATTGCCTGCTACAGCGTGGGCAAGGTGCTGATTGACCAGGGAAGCTCGGTGAACATCCTTTACTAGAAAACCTTCCAGCAAATGGACATGTCAAACGATCTCATTGTCTCGTACAACGAGCAGATTGTCGGCTTCGCAAGTGAAAGGGTAGACACTAGGGGATATGTGGATTTATGCACTCGACTTGGGACCGATTGGGACAGTGAGGAGAAGATGGTTAGGTACCTGTTGGTAGAAGCTAACACCTCCTATAATGTGCTCCTAGGTGGGTCGTGTCTGAATTCCTTCGGGGCAATCGTGTCAACCCCCCACCTTATATTGAAATATCCATCCAGCAGAGGAGCAATCTACACGGTCCGGGCGGACCAGAAAAAAACAAGAGAATGTTACGTGGCGGGCCTAAAGCTTCACACCCGCACGGTGAAAAGAAGGACAAGTGGGTCCGAAGTGGCCATGACGGATCTTGATCTACGGACGAGTACCGAGGACCGGCTGGAATCACCGGGGGAGACACAACCGATCCTGGTAGGAAAGGACGCCTCCGTGACCACCACTATTGCCCGAGGGCTAGAACTAGGATTAGGGAGAGAGATCCGATCCGTTTTATGGAGGAATTGAGACTTATTCGCCTGGACGGATGTCGACATGCCAGGGATCCATCCCTCGGTTATGTCACACAAATTGGCGTTGTTTAAGGAGGCGCGACCAGTAGCGCAGAAGAAGCGGTGAATGGGAGAAGAGAAGAGAAAAGTTGTACAAGAGGAGGTCAGGAAGATGAAGGAAGCCGAATTTGTCAGGAAGGTAACATATACCACTTGGCTCGCCAATGTGGTCATGGTGAAGAAGGCCAGCGGGAAATGACGCATGTCCACCGACTATACTGACCTAAATAAGGCATATCATAAGGATTCTCATCCTTTGCCGAGCATGGACGCGTTGGTAGACGGGGCCTCGGGTCACAACATGTTAAGCTTCTTGGATGCATAGTCTGGGTATAACCAGATACCTATGTACGAACCCGACCGGGAGAAGACAACATTCATCTTAGATAAGGTTAACTTTTGTTATGAAGTTATGCCCTTCGGCTTGAAAAACGCCGGAGCCATGTACCAACGCCTAATGGATAGGATCTTTGCTGGGCAGATCGGTCGATGCATGAATGTGTATATTGATGACATGGTCGTCTGCTCCCCCGACAGCCCACAACATTTGGAAGACTTGGAAGAGGTCTTCAAACAGGTTCGGAGGTATGGGATGTGGTTGAACCCAACAAAGTGCACGTTCGGGGTGGCTGCCGGGAAGTTTCTTGGCTTCATGCTTACCGCCCGGGGAATCGAGGCTAACCCCGATAAATGTGCAGCCATGCTGGAGATGCAAAGCCCGGTCACCCTTAAAGAGGTCCAAAGATTGATCGGCCGGATCACCGCTCTTTCGCGATTCATCCCCCGATTGGCTAAACGGGTTCGACTGGTGCTATGGAAGATGAGGAAAGGGTCGAGCAGCATGTGGGATGGTGAGTGTGAAAAAGCGTTCCAAATGGTGAAGGCCATCTTGATGAATCCACCAGTGATGAACTGCCCGTTACCCGAAGAAGAGTTGCAGATCTATTTGGACGTCTCTGAATCGGCGGTCAACGCTGTGCTACTTCAAGAACGACCCAAACCTAGGCTGGTATACTTCGTAAATCGGACCCTCCAGGAGGCCGAAACACGATACCAGCTAGTGGAGAAGATAGCCCTAGCCTTGTTGAACGCATCCAAGAGACTCCGGCCGTACTTCCAAAGCCACCAGGTCGTGGTCCAGACAGATTTTCCTATCTCCAAGATCTTAAGGAAACCTGACTTAGCAAGACGAATGGTAGGATGGGCAGTCGAAATGTCAAAGTTTGGTTTGCGATAAGGGGATCGGTAAAGGCCCAACACTTGGCTGATTTTGCCGTGGAATTGCCTCCAACAGTCAATGAGGAGTGAACCTCTACGTCGACGGAGCGTCCGGCCAGTTTGTAAGCGGGGTAGGGATAGTCTTAGAGGGCCCAAATGGCTTCTTACTAGAACACTCCTTAATCTTCAAATTCAAAACCTCAAACAATCAGGCGAAGTATGAAGCCCTGGTGGCCTGCTTAGAGTTGGCAAGGGATATGGGGGCGCGAAAGATCATATGCCGTACGGACTCCCAGCTTGTCGTACGGCATATGAGTGGGGAGTTCCAGGTGAAGGAGGAGCACATCCTCCGGTATTTTCATAAAGCAACTGCCCTTATGAAATTATTTGATAAGGTTGATATCCGGCACATCCCCCGCGAAGGCAACACTTGAGCGGACATGTTGTCAAAGCTAAGTTCGGGGAAAAAGAAGGGGAAGTTGATGACGATTATACGCCAGGTATTACTGTAGCCGTCAGTAGAATGTTTGGCGCTGTCAAATGATGAAGTAAGGGACTGGCGAATGGAGATCCGAGAATAATGGCCCAGCAGGATGCAGCCCAACCAATTAAACCGACGGACGCCAAGAAGATTGTCCACTA